TCGGAGGGGGCCTCCGTGGAGAATAGATGGGGAAGTTCTCTGGGGCGGGCGCAGTTTGCCGCTGATTCTGAGAAACCGAAACTCAGCTGTTAAAACCGCTGCCTCTGCACTTTGGAATCCCGTCCGGAGACTCGCTAAGCGTCCCAGCCGCATCCCTCCCGCAGCGACGGCGGCCCGGGACCCGCGGGCTGTGAACCATGTACACACGCAGCAGAGTGGTGAGCTCCGGGCTCGGCGCCTCCCCTGCCTCCCGCCCGACCCGGGACCCCCGGGGCCCTTACGGGCGGCACGGGGAGCTGGGCCCGCTGGAAGACCGGAGACAGGGTTTGGAGGCAGCCCCTGAGAGCCCTTCGCGGGAGAGCATCGTGCACGCAGGCCAGAGACAGTGAGTATTTTAACAACCTGGCTTCGGGGCGGGAGCCCGGGCCCCAAACATACAAGCACCTTCTTGGTCCTTGGAGTTTGAAGCCACAGGGGCCGAACAACAGGGGTTTTGACGGAATGAAAGCTCATTTGCTTAAATGAAAGCATCCATGCCTTACCTTATAAATAGAGTTTGCTAGTTTGCAGTCCAAATAACCAGCCCGGTTCCTTCTAGGAACGCTACTTTTCTGACTTTTGTGACTGGCTACAGGATTGAAAGATGTGGGTGCGTAGGAACTGCCTAGGCGTCCAGTAAGATGTCATTTTCCAGGTATCTCCAGAGCTCATACTCCAACCAGTATGGAAATAACTTTTCCTTTACTGTTTTTTAAAAACTTGGTGCCCAGCCAGGCGCGTTGGCTCAAGCCTGTAATCCCAGCACTTTGCGGGGCCAAGGCAGGCAGATCACCTGAGGTCAGGAGTTCGAAACCAGCCTGGCCAACATGGTGAAACCCCGTCTTTACTAAAGATAAAATAATAAACTGGGTGTGATGGCACGCGCCTGTAGTCCCGGCTACTTGGGAGGCGGGGGTAGGAGAATCGCTTGAACCAGGGAGACGGAGGTTGCAGTGAGCCGAAATCTCACCGTTGCACTCCAGCCTGGGCAAGAGAACGAGACTCTGTCTCAACACAAAACAAAACAAAAAAAACAAAACTTGGTGCCCTAAATGGAATTACTATATCAGACACTAACAGGTAAGGGTCAACAAGAAATGTGATATGGGGTAGAAGATTCAAATTCTGCCTCTAGGTAGGAGCAAGCCTGTGTCGCAGCAAGACTCCCAGATAAACTAGCCTCTTACAACCAGAGGAGTGGAGCTGAGTGAGTGAGGAGCTGAGTGACCGTAGTAACTCTTGTCCCTGATGTTGATATGTGCTCTGTGCAAGAACAGATAGGTAGCATTTATTCCTGGTCTTTCATTCAGGGACTGCAGTGAGTATCCGGGAAACATTTATTATGCAAGTGTCATAAGCCTCTCTTTCCAGCCAAAGGAATGAACTTCTTTAACTCAGCAGTATGGTTTATCACAACATCACTGCCTTTGAAGTGCTGCCTCTGTGAATTGGAACTGTCCGAATGGTTTTATTTTTAGTGTCTCCTTTTTCATCGACTTCTAGTCCTACGAAAGACAAACCCTGGTTGCTAAGAAACAGTATATAACCTTATGGCCGATAAACAGTAGATTTTCTTTCATCCCTTAGCTTTTGAAAGTACCAGGCCTTTAATATTATTCAGCTTAGGTTTACCCTTAGACGGGGTAGATAATCTGGAAATCAATTAGAGATTGTTGCATTTCTTTCCTCCTCAGAATAATTGGTGTCTTGCCGCAATAGAAACAGCCCATTACTTTCAAGTAACTCGCATATCTGCAAGCTATAGTACTTACCAGTAACGAAGGTCATAGACATATGGTCTCATGTCCATGAATAGTTAATGATGAACATGATTTGCTTTACTTTTTTCTGTTAAAAAGCATTTATTTAGATATAACCACTTATTTTCAAGCTCATATCATCACATAAGTATTAACTGTTGCACCTATTTTCTTATTTGGTTGTAATTACCCCGGAATCTTGCTAGACCAGACTGCTCAGAAACAGGCAGTTTTCGGATGGGTTATCCAGGCCTTAATACCCTGAAGACCTCATTGCACACTGGTTTGCAATTCCTAAAAAGATTTTCAAATAAACCATTAAAAACTACCAGGAAGTGTTTAGTTATCTCTCACTGAGTCTTCCTTTTTTTTTTTTTTTTTCACATAAACCAGTTGCAGTAAGTACAGAATTATATATTCCCTTTTAGGGGTTTGATGTCTGAGATCCTGTTGGGACAACTTTGAATTTTTGTTGCATCTCCATTAGTTACTTAGATTCACTTTCTCACTTGTTTCCTTTAATGGAGTTGGAAAACCAAGGAAAATAAATGGCACATATCTCAGTAGAATTAGTGCCCCCCCGCCCCAAAATAAAGAAGTCTTTATTTATTTTGGGGATAAAAATTAGAAATACTTTCTGATTTAAAAAAATGAAGAGGCTGGGCGTGGTGGCTCACGCCTGTAATCCCAGCACTTTGGGGGCCGAGGCGGGCAGATCACGAGGTCAGGAGATCGAGACCATCCTGGCTAACAAGTTGAAACCCCGTCTCTTCTAAAAATACAAAAATTTAGCCGGGTGTGGTGGTGGGCGCCTGTAGTCCCAGCTACTTGGGAGGCTGAGGCAGGAGAATGGCATGAACCCAGGAGGCGGAGCTTGCAGTGAGCCAAGATTGTGCCACTGCACTCCAGCCTGGGCAACAGAGCAAGACTCTGTCTCAAAAACGAAACAAAACAAACAAAAAGAGGATAGAGTTAAGTGCTTTAATAGTACAGCGTCATTTGTCTACTCATAATGTGAATTTATTTATATGGTAAAAGATTTGTCTTGTTTTGTGTGCATCCTTCCATTAATTTCCTCCTGCATCCCCAGCGTGGGGATTAGGAATATGGGCTCTGATGCCGGGTAGACCTGGGTTCAGTTCTGATTATGCCATCACTTGCTCTTTGAACAAAATCCTTAGCTACTTTATGCCTCAGTTTCCTCATTACTTGATATGAGACAATAACTTCATAGGGTTTTAATTTTTCCGCATATATATGTAGAAAACATAACTTTATGCCTGATAAAGTACTATGCTATCACCCTTAAGTCAAGTGTTTGTGCCTTGTTAAAAACACACACAAGAAAACACTGGTTTAAAACACCTACTTGTGGTCGGGTGCAGGGGTTCATGCCTGTAACCTCAGCACTTTGGGAAGCCAATGTGGGAGGATTGCTTTAGTCCAGGAGTAACATAGGGAGGCCCTTGTATCCAAAAAAAAAAAAAAAAAAATTTTTTTTTGAGCACGGTGGCACATACCTGTGTCCCAGCTACTCGAGAGGCTGAGGCAGGAGGATAGCTTGAGCTCAGGAGCTCCAAGACTACAGTCAGCTGTGATTGTACCACTGTACTCAAGCCTGGGCTGTTAACAGAGTGAGACCCCGTCTCAAATAAATAAATAAACCACCCACTTGCATAGAAACAAAGTATACTAGTAAAAATCTATGACTATCAATATATTAAATGATTCTGAGTACCTCTGATAGATTCTCAGACAAGATTGAGTTCTTGATGGAATTTGGATTTAAGTTATTACAAGTATTTACTAATTCATACTGGCTTTCCCAATGAGTTTTACTTGGTGATTTTTATCTTGTCCTTAAATATCAAAGCTATCTACACAAATTAAAAGAGAGAAAAGCTTACACAAACTTCTAATCCAAAGTAAACCTTTATCCTTCCTTTTAATGTTCTGCTTGTTTGTAAATATTTTACATTATTTATATCACCTCTAGATAAATATAAGACAAAGACATGCATTTACCTAGTTTTTATCCAATTCTGGGAAATGGGGTCTTGCCTGTGCTAGTAATACAGGGTTGAGTTCATTCTTGTACTTGTCTAACCATACCTGGTCCTTTAGCTTGATGCTGTTTGAGGAAAATAAAAAGATATTTTGAAAACGAACCTATAATATGGAATTTTATTTTACAGTTAACTTGAGCTGAATTTGTATGTAAATTATGTTAATCTTAACATTTTTGTGGCCTACTTTGTATTAGTATTATAGAGATTTCAACATGAGCAATGGTAACCATAGCACTTATGTAGTGCCTAGTACGTAGAAGCACACTATGTATATTGACTCTCAATCCTCATAACCACCATGGAACGAGAGGACCTCTAGCTTAAAAGAACTAATTAAAAACTAGGAACAAATAACTATTCAACAAAAAATAAACCCTTATGAAGCTTACTGTCTAATTGATGGGACAGACATTTATTAAAATGTGAATAAATATGTATACTATAAAGCAGGGGTATCCAATCGTTTGGCTTCCTGGGGCCACATTGGAAGAATCGTCTCGGGCCCCACAGAGAATATACCAACACTAATGATAGTGGATGAGCTTTAAAAAAAAAATCGCAAAAGAAAAACTCCATGTTTTAAGAAAGTTTATGAATTTGTGTTGGGCCACATTCAAAGCCATCCTAAGTCGCCTGGGCTTACATGCACCTTGTGGGCCCTGGGCTGGACAAGCTTGTAAGGAAAGCCAGGGTCTGAGCTGGTCTTGGGAGCAGGAAGATCTTTCCTCAGACGTGACGTTTGAGCTTTGGTCTACAGGATCATTAGGAGTTGCGTGTTGTTTTTTTTTCCTGACACCAAATATGTCATTCTAACGCCAACTAACTCTGACCCCAACTAAGTGTCCCACAGTTCAGTTCTAACACTAACTACTCAGAGTTAGTGTGGACCCCACAAATTAAGGGCTCCGTCCTGCAAAACTGCCCCCCACTTCAGACTTCAGACACTAGCTGCAAATGGAGTCTCCAGGCTACCTGTATGTCTCCCTACCAGACTACAAAGTTGGGGGTTCCCATGCATCTCCCCTTCCCCAGTTTTGATAATTCACTAGAGTGACTCACAAAACTCGCAGAAATTACTATATTTATGATTATAGGTTTATCATAAAGGATACAACTCAGTAAAGTGGAAGAGATGCGTAAGGCATCTCTTGGGGGATGAAGGGGTAGGTGGTGGGGTGTGAAGAGTTTCCATAGTCTAGGTGGGTGCGTTGATGTGTTCGTCAACCTGGAAGACCCCCAAACCTTATAGTTCAATAACTGTTATTGAGGCTTTATTACCTAGGCATAATTGAATAAGTCCAGTGGCCATTGGTGATTAAATCTCCAGCCCCCTCCTCTCCCCAGAAATTGAGATGGGGCTGAAAGTTTTAACCTCCAATCTCACAGTTGGTTTTTCTAGCTACCAGTCTTTTTTTTTTTTTTTTTTTTGAGACGGAGTCTCGCTGTGTCTCCCAGGCTGGAGTGCAGTGGCGTGATCCCGGCTCACTGCAAGCTCCGCCTCCCGGGTTCACGCCATT